ACCCTACTCCTTGTCACGTACTACCGGGGAATCGAAATCACTCCAGTTGACTCAATGACAGACCTTATGATACAACGCACAACCTCTAACCATCCGGTCATCCAGCCCCCCCCCTCCTCTATAATAAAGGTAGGATGTTAAACCCCATTTTATTTATTCCAGGCCCAGCCGATAGGTTAATTTTAACAACAATTAGCTATAGATCTGGTAATATCAACTATTGGATTGACAGGAATCCAATCGATGGTGCTATACTAGGCAGTGGATCTGTAACATGTCCAGCCAACGGGTAAGCTACATATATACAATCAGTGGAATGTGATTGGGAGGATGGTCTTAAGCGTGCGCTTTAGATCTCAAGGTACGTCATTGAGTTAAAGTGGAGGGGATTGCAATGCCAAAGTTGCACGTGACAAGGAGTATGATCACCTGTCCGATCTCGTGTTTTTTTAATGAATATTAGTATACCAGCCGTATTTTGAAGGGATTATAATTATCCATAAATTTGAAATCGTGACCATCCGGATCTAGAGAGCCGTTATGAATCAATGAATGTCTAATTAATAATGTATGTATCATTGGAAGCCCAAAGAAGGACCTATAATAGGCAGATATAGCTCTTACATAATGCATTATTATGCATTAGGCGAGAGCTAAATTTGACAAATGTTCTATAAAATATTATTAATTTTAGACATTTATTCACACGCCCACAACACAATCTCTGGGCCATCGGGGGCTTTGTTATTGAGTGGATTAGGCAGTGCCCACCATATTGCCGACCAGGTCGAAACTTGCATTATGTCACTCGTGGATACTGCCGTTAAATACACCTATGCACAGATTTCTGTTTTTGTGCATTAAAAGTCTTATTTGGATGAAAATTAATACACACTTGACCATGTCTGAAACCGTTAAAAGTAGCCATTAATAACTTCGCGCAGAATAATGTAATTGGACTGAAATGTTTACAATATTTTTCGTTGTCTATCTTCGAACCATAACAAACATGATCAATTCGTTCTCTAAATCTTGCACAGGTACTCTTTAAAGTAGTTTATGGTAGCTAATATCTTTGTATTAAACCTGGGATATTATTTTGCACATGAATTGTTTTGATTGTTATTTAAGCGGAATCACCATTAGATCCCGTCCAGCTGAAGGCAGCGAAGTCACAACATTTGCTGGAATTGCAGAACGTCTTGTTAACAACGATAGTGATTTGACATTCACTTTACATGTTAATGCATGTAAAACACAGAATGCTACCATGTTTATGGCCACCAACGGTTATGCGGGTGACATTTCTGGTTGGTATGCTTATTATTCGTCATTTCCCAAGGATTGCCCACTTTAACTGTTTGGGATTTTCGCGGAGTTTCACTGATGTTATAGATGATCATGGTGAGGCACAATATTAAACGGTGCTGACTCGCTACAAAATCCACAATTAGATCCAAGGACTCCATATATCGCTAATATTATGTGTTACGTTGACGTGCCAAGTCCCTTCATTTCATATAAAACGAATTATTTAATTTAAACGCAAGCAAGAAAAGTAGCCCACAATATACTACTGGAGTATTCTGAGTGATCCATCTCGTTTGCTGCTGTAGATACTAAGCGGATGCTCGATTGTCAGACCAGAACATTCACAATTGACGGAATTTCAGTCGAGTGACGCTGAGTTCAGTCCTGTCACAGCTCTGCCAGTCCAGTCAACTGAGGTGGTGTTATTAGAATCGCGACGTAATTAAACACAACGAATATGTTTCAACTGTAATGGTTGGTTGATATATTTTCTATATAATGAAGTCGGTTGATTGATATATATTTTTATGTAATGAAGTCGGTTAGTTAATATATTTTCTAATGAAGTCAGCGCATTCGTGGCAGTCCAAAATCGCCCTTCTACTCGATTGTCGCTATTTTGGAGATTGAGAAAAAATTCAATTTCGTAATGTGCTATCGAGTACTCCCTATCACTTGTAATCTGGGTCAGCGACAAGCATTTAGTGGAGTCGCCGTGCTATTCTGTGTGTATTGAATGTCGTATGTATATGCAGCTGTGTCGATTATACAGACATCTATTGCAGGTCTTTCTTTAGGTCTGAAACGTTATATAGATTATTTATTGGATATTAATTAACATACCAAGATCATAGTCAACTCTCGATGTCATCGAATGGCCGCGACATAAGTAGATGTAAATACATTTTGTGGTCAATACGGTTACCATGAAAAAGGATAATCGAGACCTTGCTTATAATCGTATCAACAGTAGTAATGACAATCAAGGAGGCTAGACTATAATTATATCGCCGATATCTAAGCTCAGAGTGCGGTAATTTGACTGGAATTTTCAGCATATTCTATTTTTATTATCTTAACTTGTTTTTAACTTATACTGTCAGCTCTTTATCTAATCTTAACCTAATGCCGCGTCAAGAGACGTTATAGATGCACTATGTAAGATTTACATAGGGATGTCGTTTCTTGTAATAATAGTTCAAAATTATATAAGAAAAGTGTGTATACTGACTTTTTCTTTCAAATTTCCTGATTCTGAGCGAAAATATGACTGAAGATGTATCGTAGATCGTTTTTTATCGATTAACCATTGGTCTGTGTCTCTATATGTTTGGCACAATGTAGCCCGGTTGGTGCTGACGTGTCATTAAAACATATTTCTTTCTTCCTTTCCATTGGTCTAGAGAGTTGATTATGGGCTTGAATACATGTTTAAATAATATTTGATATAAGATTTAAAGCCAAAAAAATGACCTGCAATAGGCAGATTTAAAACAAAAATAATGCCTCTTTAAGTTTAACTGTATGAAAGATGTATGCCTCATAATATTAGTGAATCAAATTAATTGCTAGCATTTTTAAAAGAAACAAATTTTTATTCAAAATTTTAATTGTATATATTTATCATATATTGTGTTTTAAATATATATATATATATATATATATATATATATATAGAGCTAAAGGAATTGATATATTTATTTTTAATTATATTTTCTGTGATATTTGTTTTTATTTACATATATGAATACAAGTCTGTGGTATTGTGTTAATTTGTCTCCTTAAATTCACCATATGTCTGGCGCAATATAGCCCGGTTGGAGCTGACGTGCCATAAAATAACATTTCATGAATCAAATTAGAGAAAAGCTATCTGTAAATTTTTAAAAGTCGGTTTGTTTTTGTTACATTGTAGGTTACAGATATGACAATGAAGACGATATTACTTTCACAAAGAAATTCGATTGGCCGATCAGTTACACGATTATGAATGCCAAGATGATGTCAACGAATATGGTGTCGGTAAAACTGTACACTGTTTGTCATGATACAAAAGTGGCTAGCCCAACTGTATCTTTTACGTGCGTTCTTGGACCAAATGGTGGCTTCCATGTATACACGGTCTAAGTTAAAATTCCTTTTCCCTTGGAAAAAGACATAAAATGAGCTAATTTTGAGTTCTGTCATTATTATCTAATACTCAACTTTACTAACGATCGCGGTGGTAGCCCGAGTTCACAAATCATTCTCAGACTTAAGTTATGAATATACTCAAAATTGTTTGCCTTCTTGTAACTCTTTATCAAACTTTTTGTTGTTTTAATGTATCAAAAACATCAATAAGAAACCATGTGCAAAGTTTTGTGTTTCTGGATCAAAGATATTTCTCATAAACAATGATTGGAAGTTGAGTAAATTCTTAAGTCTGAGAATGCTTTGTGAACTCGTGGTCTGGACTCAAACTAGAATGCCCCGGGTGCAATTCCGAGATTCATTAGTTGGGGCATCGCATATGTAGCTGACACGGACGTATTTTGTTCGTTTGATGACATATTTTGTGATTCACTTTAGTCTGTCCTGGCGCAATATAGCCCGACCCGAGTTCACAAACTATTCCCAGATACATTACAGGGGGTTAGAAAAAGAGCTGGCAGTTAGCACTGTAATAGTTAAAAATTAGATAATGTAAAGGGGATTTGCTGAAAATTTCAGTCAAATTGATCCACTCTAAACCGAGATTTTTGTGATTGAATTTTGGGCCTAGCCTCGATCAGCATTACTAAAGTCGGTACGATAAAAAAAAACAGTCTCGATTTCCCACATACAGGGACAACAAAGGGAGACTCGGTATTCACGTAAACTTGTTAGTTGAGATTCGGAATAGGAGTAAACAGTAGTGCCGCTGCCCGGGTAACATTTCCCTCCTGTATGTCGCATACCCGCCTTCATTGTTCCCCCAGAAAAGTAGGACATTAACCCCATTCCATTTCATTTACGGAACCACAGAACTAGTATTTCAAATAATTGGATGCGTTTCTCAGATTACAGAAGAGTTTTCCTTTAGAAATGAAATGAAATGGGATTTAACGTCCTACTGTTATGGCCCAACGGGGCTAATGAAGACGGGCATGCGCGATATTGTGAGCTACAGGGGCAATTTAGCCTACTCTATTTATAGTATTTCTTATAGCAGGGGGTTGGGGGTGAATGGCCGAATGGTTAGCATGTGCACGCCGAGTCAGCTGGCGTGGTTTCGATTCCCCGGTTGTACGTAGCAAGGAGTATGATCGCCTGTCCAACCTTGTGGGTTTTCTCCAGGTACTCCGGTTTCCCCCCACCGCTAAAAGACCCCTACGGGCAAGCGAATTATTGAAATAAAATTGAACCATGTGCGGGTGTTGAAACAAAACAGAGAAAAAATTATGGTCGAAAGCGCACTCGAACACGGTATTAATGGACGTTTAAATCTGGGGGTGGGGCGTGTGTGTGTGTGTGTGTGTGGGGGGGGGGGGTAAAGGATTTCAATTAAATTCCAAAATAAATTGTAGTCGCACGCCTTATGTATGGTATGTATACTTTAAATATTATTTATTTCCCCTTGATGAGACACATGAATAAACATCAGTCAATGGGAGAATGTTTGGTTGTCTGCATCCTGTATAAGATTTATTTATTTCTTATTTATCTCCCCTTGATAAGATGAAATGTCTTATATTTTGATTAGCATTGGTAAAATATACTGGCGATGGTCTTCTCGTATCAACTAAAACTGTTCCACCTAGTTTTGGTATTTGAGATGAACGCTGAAAATGACAAGAAAACATACTTTAATATTACATGTACGTGACATTGAGAATGGTCGTGATACATAATCGTAATGCGTTTTTCCCATTTCCGCTTTCACTGCATAACGATCCTGGAGCGCAAACGAATTATTATTATGAAGACCTTACACACTTTATTAGGTATGTGTACTTCCTTAATGGGAAGTGGCATGATGTGATCTAGATATCCAGCCACATGCACGACACGGTGATTATTTACCCCATCTGAACGACTATACAAGACTTGTCATTACCACAGGCGCAACCCTAAAAAAAACCTAAACTGGCCCCAAGGCTGAAATTTGGTCCCTGGAATGTCTTGTTGAAGTACAGTGCCATTTAATTTCGATTATCGTGGCAACACAACTGGGTAGAAGGGAACCTCGTCCAATGATTTGGGAATAAAGCTTCTGGGATCGGTCGACAATTAATTTGTTATCATCCAGCCACCTTCAGACTACTACAAACATACAGGTCTCTAAATCAGTTGGAATAGATATCAAAACAATGTCCTATGCATATAGATTTGAATGAAGAAGGGTGTCCATTGATAGATAGTCTAGGATGGTTAAACTATTTGTTACCTCGACCTTAAATCGTTTTAAACTTTGTATTCTAACAGTACGGGGCCTGTAGTCTTCTTTCATTGTTTCTTTGCAAAACCTTTTCATCTTCATTTCAAGACTAGATAAATATTCTTCACATGACTGGCTAGTAGAGTCTACGGTGTGGTCATCCTCAACAATTACGTCAGAAAGCTGTAAAACATAAGGTTGAATTAACAACGTTATCAAGTACATAACAGGAATATTCAAAAATATTGTACATTTACTGCACGGTTGAAAATATTTTACCTCAACTATATCATCAAGAAATTAATTCCCCTACCTACCATAAGATCGAACATTCTATTTATCTCGGCTGATGGGTGGCAGAATGGCTTAACACGTGTGCGTTAGATCACAGGGTCAGTTATTGAGTCAAGTGGCGTGGTATCAACTACAAGTTAAATATTGGATATAAGAATCCCGTATGTTCACGGCAAGATATCAACATTGATTGAAATGGACCAATATTGAATTTTGATTTCGAATTTTATTGGAAAAGTTAGAGGTTTAGCTCATTTAACACCCCTTATAACAAACTGTATTTACGAAATCTCCTTAGTCTCGGTGGAGACATACCGTTGCCACGATAAGCGATCTACGCTACATCTTCGAGCAGTCATAATTTCGCCCAATATAAATTAATTTGAACAAAATTTTCAATATATTTATTACATAGTGCATATTGAAGTACAGTGCCATTTGTTATATATTCGCATACAACGAAACAGATACCATATAGAAGTTAAATCTATATTTACCTCGTCATCATTTCCACAAATAATTCCGACTTGCTGAATTTGAGACTGAAGATTTTCTTTCGCCACTAAATTCGCCATTTGTCTGGATCTTTTTTCCTCTTTTATTTCTTGTAAATAATCCAACTGATTAAACACAGAAACGACCTTCTTGTAATCCACGTCAGCAGAATCCGGTCGCGTCGGCTTATATACACGGTTACCAAGGTTACTACTGTTGTCAAAGACAACCACCACATTAGCAGTCTTTGGTCGATGGCTGTCACTGTTCGGTTTTGTTTGGGAGAATTTGTTACCCTCGCCATCTTTGATAGTGCCAGTGGCAGTTATTGGTCGACATAGAAGCCTCTGCTGAGCAAAAATGTTATTTTTGAGATAAGATGTACTTCTTGCTGAACGTTTAAAAATCGGCTTGTCATTGACTTTCGTTGTATTTCGTTTACATTCCCGCAGTATCAGCTGATTTTTCCAGATTGACCAGGCCTTAATATTTACCGAGTCCTTCAAATAAGGCGGTATCAAAGGGGACTGGTTATTCAGGAACAATCGAATCAAGCGACGTTCTTTCGTGTTTGTACCGTTACCAGTTTGTTCACTTTTTGAAACGCTGTCAGGCTTAAAATGTGTATCACGTGATAGCCTTATATAGAGTTGTTGATAAAGTTCGTGATATAATGGTATTCTGTTACCACAAATGTCTCTACGCACATAAAGTTTCTGGAACACAGTCTGACTTATTACATCTAATGTTCCGGGATTTTTCTTCAGGATCAGCCTATCACAATATTTGCGGTTTAGTAGTAAGACATTTGTTGTTGCCATGGAGATCACTGATGCTGTGTTTCGTTCCAGTCCAAAGGTTAACTCTATGTCACCTAGAAAGATGAAATAAATATACACTGTTGGTTATTTTGAATGAATGAAATAGGGTTTTATGGCACGTCAGCTCCAACCGGGCTATATTGCGCCCTTCGTGTAGCACGAACAAAACAACAATCGGAAAAAGAACTGGATGTTTATTTCATATAAGGCCTTTCTTGCTTCTAGGTGTACCCGAATAGGGACTTTCTTGGTTCTAGGCACACAATCCGTATACTGGAAAAAGCAAACATGCTTCATATGGCCCAAGCCATGTACACAAACCGGTTGGTGCTGACGTTTAGTGGCGTACCCAGTATACCACATCTCATTCATTCCCGTATTACCTACCTATAACTTGTCCATAATCAACTAAACAAAGCTCTAGCGTTGATTTATCACGTCGTATTGGTGATGATGCACGATTCTTCAATATGATATTATCACTATCGGCAACGCTACCAAATATATAAATAAAATCAGTTGAGTCACTAGATAACTATACATGCATAAAATAGTACACAATGTCATTGACCCGTTTTCAGTTTAAAAAGTAGCAGTGATGCCGAAAAATGTAATAACTCAATATTAGGCCTCGCAAGGAAGGTGTCAGGTGTCCAATTTGGACGAAAACCCGAGTTCTGATGTACATCAGTGGCGTACCTATGAGCAATTTGAAATCTAAATAAAGGTTCGACGTAGGGCAATATTTATATCATAGTACACTGCATAGAGAATGTCCATCTGCATTAGCCTGGATGATGCTGGAAAGTTTTTGTATTTCATTATTATATTGTAAGTATGCCACATATACGAACATTCCAAATTAGGTAAATGCCACTACATTGCCTACTGCCCCATATTATATTCATTGGTGATCTAACCTGTGTCATAATTAACGCGGGGCCACGGTGGCTAAGTGGGTAACTCGCTAGCCCGGAGGTCGGGTGTTCGATCCCTGCATTGGCCGAGAAAGTTCATCCAGATTTTCCGGGGTGGTTCAACCCACACTGATCAGCAGTGAATTTTTCGCTAGGCCTCTACAATCACTGATAAGGATGACATCGATGCGACTTAATGGGCCAGAAATATTAACTTTTTGTATGTATTGGAAAAATAAATAAAGGCGTTTGACGTATTTGTAGGTAAACATTATTTTCTATTTAGTGTAAATGGGTATTAAAATGACTAAAAGGCAGCATTCCACCCGAAGCAGTAATGTCTTATGTAAACAATGCACGCGCAATTCAGCCAATGATTGACGCCGCGTGCTGTGACGGCACGTGTTAAGGCAGTCATCTTTGACAGAGAAATTACTCTAGACTCGTAATTCTCTGTGAAACAGATTGGGTTCACCCTTGTCAGTGATGCAGGACGGAGGGCTTGATAAGGACAGCTATCTAGTCATTCGGATGGGACAGAAAACCGAGGTCACGTGTACACATAGGCGTGTACGTAAAATATACCTTGACAGTTGGAATTCGATATTAGAGTAGGCCATAGTGCCGCTGTCCGGTCAAAATTCCCCTCATAGCATACTGTATGCCCGTCTTCATTAGCCCAGTTCGGAGCAGAACATTAACCGTTAAACCCCATTTCATTTCACGTCTCATATTTAACAATTTATTTGGCGCAATATACTCAGGTGCAGCTGATTTGTCATGAAACTCGATTTCATGTATCCATGCATTCATTGGTGAGACAATAGGTCTGTTAATACTTTACACTAAACTATGCTAACCTGTTTTGCTCTGTATGGTTCATCAAGTACCGGGAGAACTGAGTGGCATGGTTATTTGTGTTGACAACTATTTTAGCTTCACCACTTTATGAAATAAATTACGATAATATATTTTATAAACCTTGGTAAACATTTACATCATTTTAATTAAAGACATTTCGTGTTAACGCCTTACAAAACATGAATTTACTTGATGCCTTCCGTGAGAATAATGACCAAAAACTGTATCAAAGTTCTCGATGGCACGGCAAACCGATGTCCCGGGTAGAAACTGAAATTGGAAATTCGAAAAAGAGTAGTCGGAATTTTCCGAATACAAATTAATGATGCATTTTGTAAGATTTCGATAAAGGGTTGCAGAAATTACTTTATTCTGAGCAAGGTTATGAATGTTTGAAAGTCTCGATTACCAAGTAAGCTTCTTTTGTCACCATAATAAATGAAGTCTCGAATTTCAATCTCCCAATCGACAGACTCCGTGCGTGTGTCCATATTAACCTAGTATATTAGCCATCTGATTTGTCCAAATGCTTCCTAACGGATATCATAGTAAAACAAAACCTATTCTATACCTGAGTATAAACATCATTCCCGATATTCTATCACCCTGTGTAAGCATTGGTTCACCATAATTAAACGCCATCTTTTCTAGCGACATCTCCAATATACGACGTAACCTGGGATTCCAATCCTTGAACCATGGATGGTTGTCGATGAATTTGCTTCTTTCTCTAAATGCAGCTTCCTGATCGTCCTGTAGAAAGTGAATCAAAACTTTCGACTTTATCTAGAACAGCCCGTGGCTTCGTCAAGTAGCGGTCATGGCACATCGAATTCCTACTGCTAAGATATATTTAACGTGCTCGCCAATGTGTATATGGGACATCGTTTTTTCGTCCCACCCGAACGACTAAAAGACAGTTGTCATTGTCATGCCTTCCGTCCTGCACCACAATAAGAGACGGAGTACGAGAACGGCGATTAGTCCACAATTCCATAATAAAAGAAGAAAAAAGTTGGAGACGCGAGCGGCCATTGGGCCCCCATATGGTGTTAGCATCACAGGGGTAACAATTTGTGCTAATATAACACATTGTTCCGTTTAGATTACTAATACATTAGGACGGCTAAATTCTATTCTGTTCAATATCGCATGATACATGAAGGTGTCCAACATTCCAAAGCAGAAAAACAATCTACACTGAGACTGAAAGCATGACCTTCCTCTATTTCATAGTCAATACCTCACAAGAATGTCGTGTACGAGACAGACTATACTTACTAGAACATTGGATGCAAGTTCTTATTTGAGAAGATCATATTAGTTAACCTTATACCTTAACATGAACTGCTGCGATTTATGGAAACATTACCTTCAATGACCTGTTAAATAGATCTCTTGACAGGACGATTAAATGTGAGACTTCATCCGCTATTATAGTAGACTTTCTTCTGGAGTCTTTAGTTATCAGAGCTAGCTCCCCAAAGCTTTTACCATTTTCTAAAAAAAAAGCATCCAATGGACTATAAATGTTCCTCGTGACTGCAGACCTTGCATCATTAATACAGAGGAATTGATCTTATATCATTAATAACGAGGAATTAACGCCCGGAACTGTAGTTAGTTCAAAATTATTAAATTATTTTTTCAAACATATTTAGATACGATTTGCGGTTAGTGATTTAACGTAGTTATCAGAGCTAGCTCCCCAAAGCTTTTACCATTTTCTAAAAAAAAGCATCCAATGGACTAAAAATGTTCCTCGTGACTGCAGACCTTGTATCATTAATACAGAGGAATTGATCTTATATGATTAATAACGAGGAATTAACGCCCGGAACTGTAGTTCAAAATTATTAAATTATTTTTTCCAACATATTTAAATACGATTCGCGGTTAGTGATTTAACGTAAATATGAAAAATCCAGACCTTGTTTATTATCGTAGCAATGATAATTGAGGCTACGATGTTCTTATAACGGTGATAACTCGATTCAGAGTGAAGTAATTTCAACATATTCCCTTTTGATTATCTATTTTAACTATTATAGCGAGAACTGTCAGCTCTTTACCTAATCTTACATAGTGCCTTTTTAATTAGTTCCTCGCAAGAAACTATATTTTGACTTACCAAAGTACATGATAAATCGACCAAATTTGCTTCTATCCAATCTCTCAACCTTAGCTCTGCCTTTCCACCGCTGCATGGCACTGTTAGCAGCATAACTATACACGCCATCTAGTGAGAAATCGTCTAACCGACTGGCGGTAACATAAACTGAAGCTCGACCAGTCAGCAAAATATAAAAACTGAGATAAAAAATATAACACAGTTTAGGACATAAACACTTCCTGTTTCGCATTTAGAGGGGGTTTATTATCTAATAGACATGTCCTGAGATCATTAGGACCCAAGACGCGTTAGCATCGCGGGTTCTAATGTAAAATCTCAGGACATGTCTAT